GTAAAAATTCAAAAACACCTTCTTTGGTCTTCTGTTTCCCTCCCATTCCTATTCCAGTTCACCAGTACTATTTTTTTCTGCTCTTAAATTTCAATGAATGAACACTATCATCAACACAAATAAATCAAATATTGTAATATATTATCTCACCACTTTGAAAGCTCTTGCAGGAGCAGGTAAAGAATTGGTTTCTTCTAAGTATTTATCCCAAGAAAAATGTTTCACATTTGGATAACCTAAGAAAGAAATAAAAAAGTAAATCCTATGACAGTGAAAACCACAAACTGACCTAAAAATTATAAAATGTTGTTATCATTATAACATAGGAAATTATGTGCATATTACTAACAACTTTAATCTAGTTATACATTCAGAGCTATCTGTAATAATGAAATTGTTTTCATCTTGATCATGATTTCCCTATTAATTTTTAACTAAAAATTTACATATATGTATATGTATAATTTACATTTCACGTAAGGACAGTCTTACAACAGAAGACACACACAAGCACATACACACAAATACCCTTAATCTAGCAATTTTACTTATAATAATCTAGGAAATTCTCATATATGTGTACAGACAATGCACCATTGTTTGTAAATGTGAAAATGCAAAAACCAGTTAAATGACCATCACTAAAGAAATGTGTAAAAAAAGTATATAGTAAATATAAACTAGAAAGCATTTATTAAAAAGAATGAGGCAGATTTATATATACTAATATGTGAAATATTCCAGATATATCATAGTTAGGTCAAACAAATAAGACAAAACAAATCATGGAACAGTATTAATAGAATGTCTAAAAACAACTACCCTGCCTCCATCCTGCCCCCTTTTGCTTCCTCCAGAGTCCAAACTCCATTATGTAGGCGTGAGTAGGAACTGACGGTGACCCAGTGGGGTGGGAAATTGGCTACATCAAGGGAACTGAGAAAAATCAGTAAATATACTGGAGATAACAGAAGCCAGATTTCTCACTGACTAAAAAGAGGGTTATAATTGTGTAAAGTGGAAAACTAGAGTGAATTCAGTGGTGTTGGATCTGAATTAGCGCTAATGGTACAAATTCATGGCTTGCAATATGTATAAATGAATATAGAAATAAACATAAATACAAACTTTTTATATATTTACATAAATATATTTCCTATGTCCACTGAGAGGCTGGAAGCAGGAATCACCCAGTAGGAGTGGGCATATCTAGTGCCCGGATCTTACTTTCTAAATATCATACTCTACTAAAAACAAACCATAGAGACTGGGAGAAATGGCTGACTTCAGGGCTGGGTCAGGGAAAGTACAAGGTAAGCCCACCTATGCCAGAAAGTAGGAAGTTCTCAAAAAAATTATAAGAACATGGCAAAAGGACACATAAACAAGCTTAAAGGGGCTCCCACTGGCCAAATCTGAGAAAAACCTGTACATGAAAATAAATAATGCTAGTAACTGACTGTAAATCATTGATGACAATAGTACTCTACGGGTCCATGCTGATATAAATAAATTAAATGAATAAATGTGAAGATAAGAAAGCTTGTCTTTGCAGAAGAATATCAATTATGTACAAGGAATGATAAAATAGAAAAAATGATCATTTAGTAACTTTCAGAATGTTAATTCAAACTAGACATATCAACAGATTCTAAAATTAGTGAGTGATACAGGGATGAATCACAGTCTCAAAGTATCTCCCCATAAAATACACATTAATTACAGAGAAAAAAATAACTACATTAGTGGAGGAGCCTGGAAAACACCAACTTAATCAATAAATGGTAAAAAACATCCAGTGCCACCTGAGAGGATGCAATGAGAACACAGCATTGTTTCTGTGATATTCCTGCCACAAATGCATATCCTAGGTCTAATCACAAGGAAACACCAAGCATACCCAAATTAACTAACATTCTATAAAATGACTAATCTGATATCCTCAAACATACTGAGGTTATGAAGGTCAAAGAGAGCCTAATTACTAGAGGGACATGACAACTAAGTGCAATGCTTGATCCTTTTCCTATAAATGACATCGCTGGTATAACTGATAAACTTGAATGGGTCTATGGTCCCAGGGTATAAATGAGTTCTGTACTATTCTTGTAGCTTTTCTTTACATATAAAGTTGTTTCAAAATAAAAGTTTAGGGAGTAAATACGCAAACGTTCCCGTGTATGCAAACATTTTACAACATATTTTTAAGGAACATACCTTGCACAATTTACGTAATATTAAATCTGTGCATACATGCATGTGCATACACAGAGGCAGAAAGGTGTTTCTGGAAAGACAATGACCAACTATTACGAGATAACAGTGGTTATCTCTGTTTTCACTCTAAACTTTCAAAAGCAAGTATGTCTTAATATATATTTTAGATAATTAAAAATAAAAATCATTTTAAAAGGCATGAAGACTTTAAGTTTGGAAATAGAATAGCTACGTCGCATGTTTAGAGAGAACACAAACATGGCCAGCAGGGCTGCCTAGGGGGCTCATCCACAAGCAGCACCAGTCGGAAGAGCAGCTGCCTCGGGGGGCTGGGTGATGAGGGTCCCTTCTGTTCAGACAAGAGATCAGAAATCAAGCCACAATGTGTCTGTAGCAAGAAGCCCCCCACCCCACCCCCACCCTGCAAGCTTGTTTGCTTGCTTATTTATTAATTTATTTATGGTCATGGAACCAAAGGGCAGGGTAACATCAGCACAAGTCCTGAAAGACAGTCTCATTATGTGGCAGGGTTGTTTTTTTTTGTTTGTGTTTTTATTTTTTAAACTTGGGGGGTGTTTGGGGGGGGGTAAAACATGTATCACATAAAATTTACCATTTTAGCTATTTTTAGGTGTACAGTTAGTGGTACTTAAGTATATTCACATTGTTGTGTGTTTGGCACTTTTTAACATTCTATTTTGTATTTTCTTAATTTCTCAAAAAGCTATGTATTTCTCTTCTACTGAATTATGAAAGTCCATGCAAGGAGACAGATGATTTGGTTATTTGCCTCCCATCAGAAGTCAGCAATGATGCCTTATACCACCCTCCCCAGGTACCTAACCCGAGGCTATGAAGGCATAACCGGGACCCTGTAGTTCACTGGTTCTGTTAATTTACCAGATCCCGGATCAAACCAAAAAAGGTGGTGAGAAAAAAAAAAGGATCAATAGCAAACTAATACATCTAAAAGAATCCTCCCAGAAATTTAGATGATGGTAGTGACGATCATTGTTCAATGGCCTCTAATACTACATAAGCCATAGGACACAGGAGGGCTGAGCAGAGGTCTTCCAAGCAGCACCACATTTGGGCCATGAAACCAGGAAGGCACTACTTTAATACTTCATGGTTTATGTAAATACCCTTTTGTCTTCAAAACAGCTCTGTAAATCAGTAAAGGACAGGGGCTTTTGTCCCTTAACATTTGAGAAGGCTCAGCAAGTGGAAGGGACTGGCCTCACCCATCACTGGAATGTTTGGTTCCCTGAGTAAGTAAATGTCCGGACACAGATACATGCAGTTATCAACTGGGGAAAAGCCTAAAAATGAAACCAGCTGTCAGAATAGAATAAGGCAAGTATGTGAAGCTCCAAGCTGAGTCTCTGCTGCTTACACACTGTGGGCAACATCAACCCAACAGCTCCTAGCAAGCCAAGGAGCCATCCTTTCCCTGTGACATGGCCGCCTTCATTACTCACATGAGGATGCACAAGCGACCACCCACAGCCAAGTGCCATGGCGTTAGCTGAGACCCTGTCTTTTCACGTCAGCAGCAATCATGGCACCTTAAATAGCGATATGCTCAGCAACCCAATGTCTTAATTTTGATGAAGCCACAGAATCTGTTCTTTAGCACATGAAGATCAACTCAAATTGACATAAAACAAAGAGACTACTTATCAGCAGTTACACTGTCCCCTGTCAGAGAATGAATAAGCTGAGAAGGCTCTGGGGCCAGGGACAGACAGGTGAAATACCTGAAAACTTCAGAGAACAGAGAGACGTACTACTAGCATAAAGGTGCAAAATCTACTATGGAACCAGGAAACACAACAGAAAAAAAAGAAGGAAACGTGAATGTATGAATTCTGATCTCAGTTTTATATATATATATATATAAAATCGAATGCCTCAAGTTCTTACTTAAATGTGAATGAACACTGTGTTTCTGCCAGAATTGACCTTGACAGGTATGGTCCAGGCTCCATCCACAAATGCTGTTCCACATGTCCAATTTTCTATACTCATCGAAGCCTTAGACAATTCATTTCTATGGTCAGACAATATATCTAAATGTGTATTAATATAAAGTCTAGCTAGAAATGAATTTAAACTAGAGAAATGAAAGATCTTTCAAAAACAGTGCTTCCCATTTGTCCAAAGAATGCAAAAGTTGAGACTGTCAGAGACTAAGCCAATGCTGATATACTTTCAGGTGTATCACGGGTCAGCAAGATACCACCTGCAGGCTGGTTGCCTCTTTTTGCAAATCAAGTTTTATTTTAACACAACTATGCTCATTTGTTTACATGTCATCTAAGGCTACTTTTGTGTTAAATCGCAGTTGAATAGTGTGACAGAGACTGTTTGGCCCACAAAGCCAAAAATATTGACAATGTTTGCTAACTTCTAATATATGAATAATATTAGACATACAATAAACACAAACCTGGAGGAGTAATAAGGGTTCTTCTATGTTCTTTACACCAACCAACTGGATGAATGTGAGGACTAGAAGCTTCACACCTGTAGGTTATATAAATTTAAGAAATTTTAATTATCAGGATAAATTCTCAAATACTAGTAAAAGTAAAAAGCATTAATTGGAGATCATGAACACCTTATTACAATCAATCTCATTTGGAAAAAAATTGGTATACCAAAGGATCTTTCACTCTTCCCATATATTAACACCAAGTAGATTTCAAATAGATATTGAGCATAAAAATCTGGAGTTCAAGGACTAAAAGTACACATTTGGGAGTGAACAGCATTTGGGGTGGTATTTAAAGCCATGAGCAGAGATGACACCATCCAGAGAATGAGTAGAGAGAGAGAACAGAAGAGGTAGGAGGCCAAGAAGGCCAGGAAAGAATAACTAGTAGAGAAAGAAGGAAGGAAAGAATAAGTCAACGGAGTCAAATGCTGCTGCTAGATCAAAGAAGAGAAGAAACAAGGACCGTCACTGGATGTATTAACGTCAAGTCATGAGTATCCTTGATAAGTGCTGCTGTGGTGGAGTTGGGGATGGGAAAAGGCAAATTCCTTATTAGAGCGGGTTTCAGAGAAAATGGAAGGAGAAAAGGTGGAGACAGCGAGTATAGAAAACATGTTTAAGTCATTCTGTTTTAAAGGGAGGCAGAAAAATGAGACATTAGGGGAAGCCTGGGCGGGGTACATATGAAAATTCTCTGTACAATTTTACAAACTTTCTAAGTTTAGAATGACTTCAAAAGAAAACATTTTTTAAAAGATAGGAAATATTACTTCATTTACTCAAGAAATACATGCTGAGCAACTATCATGATCAGGGCACCGTTCTAGGTGCAAGGGCTACAACAGTTATCAAAACAAACAAAAATCCCTTCTCCCACTTGGGTACTGGTAGGAATAATTCAACAGAGAAGAAGGACCTACTGATGCAGGAGACAGAACTGACTTAGTAAGGGGGGATGGAATCCCGTGCATGAGACCAGTTGTGCAGTGCATCACCCAGTTACAGAGAAGGTTCTGTCTCTGGGCTGAGATCAGGCAGGTACCCAGCAGACAAGATGGTGGGAACATACAGACTACGCTTCTGACTGCGTCTTTTTTCTCAATGAAATAGGAAGCAAGGTTATCAGCTGAAAGAAAGGATAAGAAAGGGGTTGTGGGAAATTTGAGGGAAAAAAGAGGGAGTGCAATTCTGTGGACAAGACAATGATCTGTCGCAGGATTATGGGGCAGAACTAAGGGGCCACTTGAGGTGTGCGGTCATGAATCTGAAGTCAGACCAATCAGCACGTTGTGTCTTTCTCCAGCTATATTCAACTGCTCAGGCACAGGCAGACAGTAGGCAGAAAGTTGATGCAATCAGAGTTGGGGTTTAGCCAGGCAAACACAATATAAGGAAGTGGAGATTATAGTTACAAGGGAGTAGTTATAATAGTATTACAAAAGATAGGCATCTAGAGGCATGTCACAATTAGTATCTTAAAAAAAAAAAGTTGGTAGAACATTTTCCATCTGTGTTCTCAAAGATAATAGGCATAATGAAGTAAAAAAAAAAAATAGGGTCAAAATATTCAGGAAAATGCTATATCCCTTTCTTAAGAGCTTTACAGAACATATTATTAGCATATTAGACTGTGGAGCTATACCATAAACAAACCAGTTTCAAATGGTTTAAGTTAGCATATTTTAAAGATATTTCACTAGGAAACACGACTTTGGTGGGCAGCCCATTACCATCACGTGGAACACCAGTGTTCTGCAGAACATGGTGTGGGAAACGCTGGTCTAAAGGATTCCAAACGTCTAGCCTTGCTCTATCGACCAGGTCTTTTGAGTCTATCCTGAAACATCAGGAAATCTCCTATAGCTGTCTACATGGGAAACTGGAAGATAGAAAGCCAGGGAGATAACAGTGGTTGTTGGGTTTCTGGTAAATAAAAAAGTGAAAAACAAAGGCCTTTCTAAGATAAGTACTAAGTAAATAACATTAACATACAGTCATCACTTTCCAAGTCAACCTTTCCAGGTGAACACCACCAAACAGTAACATAAGGTGAGTTGATGTAAGCCCGTGCTGATTTTTCTCAAAATTATTTTAGTGGAAAATACCTTTAAATGTATAATTAAAGGTTTATTCCTTTCTTCCTTTATTCACTTATCTTTTACCCAACCTCCCCCACTCTCTATATACATTAATTCATTGAGGGCTCATTTAAGATGAAAAAAAAACAACAAATGTATAACATTTGTTTAATTTTTTTCCTTCCCAATCTAATACAGCTATCAAGTGCTTTTTATAATTACCTGCTAGGCTCATGGTAATGAAAGTTAAGAGCATTAGACATTACTAATTCTTTTGATTTAATCAGATTTCTATATAAATTACAATTCAGGAAAATACTGTGGTCTATTTTGGCCATCCATTCCTGCACTACTTGAATCTTATATAACAAGGTTTTCTATAGTATCTAAATATTGATCAAAGCCACCATTTAAAATAAACAAGGAAGCCATTTCAATAGAGAAAATAAAAGCAGCCCTATTTTTATCTAGTTTACTGATACTCTCTCAATATGCAGACAATGCTTCCTTCACAAATTGAAAGGCTGTGAAACCTTCCTGCTACTACCATAACACAAGTCATCTTAGTCCCACCTAGTGTTCAAAAGCAGAAATGGAACCAAGAAGCAATATAGTGAAGAACAGTTAATGGAACAAAGTTTGGCAAGCCATTAGATCACTGTACCTCTCCTTCGTTTCTTTTGGGTTTTCATGTTATGTCATCAAAGAAGTCCAATTCAAAAAAAAAAGCTTTCTAAAGTCCATTTCACATGTAAGTGCAAATTACTCATGAATGAAGGCTACTAAGATCCAATCAGACCTAGACTGGTAGATAATCATGAAAAATCCATGTTTATACTGTAAGGCTAAAGTGAACAGACATTAAGATCCTCATTTTATGGAAACACCAAGGGATTCAGTGATTTCACCAAGCCCTTGAGTTGAAAAGAAAGAGATCCAGGTTTTCTCAATCAGCCAAAAGCTAAACCAAACTACTGCACATGCGCTGGGCTCCACAGATCTAGGCAGAGAGACAAATAAGACCGTTTCAAGGTGCTTACATATGGAAAACATCAAAGTCTTCATTTCAAGCAATAACGATTTCGTTTCTTTGAAGAAATACAGGATATTTGGCTTCTCCCACTTCCTAAATCCAGAGCATGATGACTCTGACAATTTATTTTCCAATACCCTATGTTCCTGACTTCCATTATGTGCTAACTCTTCAGGGCCTCCGTCACTGTGTGTTACTACTAAACCCTGAACCTCATCAGGCAGAGTCATTTAGCTCTCCATTTTGTCCCTAATTCATTTGCAATCCCATTCCTCACAGTAGCTGTTTTTAATATTATTCATCTTCTTCAAGCTTAAAACCCACCTTTCATGAACACAGTGAGTACTTGGAAAAGATTAAGGAGATGCCATCTCATTTACCCTAGTGTCAGCTTTCCTCTCATGTCTTCATTTTCTCCAGGGCAGAGAGAGGAGAGTTGACTCCTTGCCAAAGTTAGCCCCGCCTCCGGGAACTGGTATCCCCAGTTAATGCACAGTCTCAGACACCTCTACTCTCCTCCACAGGGAAGGCTTCTTCCTTCCGCCAAAAACCAAGCTCAAAACCCTCGGTGCAGAAAACCCTCCTTAGAGGCTGACTGGCCCTCAAGCACTTTCAGGGCCAATCTTCACTGCTTGATGGCCCTTACGGTCATCTCTTTAACCTTTCCAAGTTGGTTTCTGCTTCTAAAACTCTTTTTTTAATCCTCACAACACCCTATGAGACAGTTATTATTATTATTATTAACTCTTCTTGCAAAAGGGGTAACTAAAGCTTAGAAGAGTTAAGTCACTTACTGAATAGATTGGCTGCATTCCCCCAAACACACCCTTGTTTGGCCCCCAATCCCCACCCCAGGCTTAAACAAAAGCAAGTGCTTTCCTTGGCCAGGAACATTCCATCCCAACATCTAATTACGGATTCTTATCATTCTTCATGGTCCAGCACAAATCCCATGTCCTCCAAGAAGCCTTCCCCAAGAGCCCTCCAGTGAGTGAGTCAGTGAAGGGAACCAAGTTTTTGCCACCCTGAAGCTGCTTTGTGGGATGTTGATTTTAAGCTGTTTATTAAGAAACAAGCTTCAGAAAGAAACTATGACCCTCCCCCACTTTTCCTGCACAAGAGTCAGGCAGAAGCCTGCTTCAGGAAGGAAATCGTAGGATGCTGCCTTAGCCTACTTTTAATTCAGTGTGGTGAATAAGAGGACATCAGGCAGGTCCTGTTAGCTAGGCACCCCTGTGTCCCACTGTTTCTGAGTTGCCCAGCAAGAATGTTCCTTCCTGCCCTGTGTGTTCCGCATCCTCAAGTACCTGTCAATCACCCATTTTCACTTCTGAAATCTAATACCCCTTGCCCCTTCTTTGTCCAAAAATGTCTTCTATATCCAATGTTGAATCACTGTCTTTGGAATTGTCACGCTTCTGTGAATTCCCCACGTGCATATATTAAAATATTTGACTTTCTCCTGTGAATCTGCCTCTGTTAATTTGATTATTAGCCCTGCTAGAAGAACTCAGAATGTGGGAGGAAAAGTATTCATTTTTTCAGCCCCCATATCAGTCAGTCTTTCCTTCAGTGTGTCACTATAGACAGCAAGCAGCTGGTTCTAATAATTAAGCACTAACCACCATCTATCTAGCCAGCAGCTGTTAGCTAGATCGCCTAGAAACAGTGGTGTTTCTCTCCCTCCTCAGACCCTGAGCCCTTCAGGGCTGAAGTGCAAAGCTCTCTAGATTCCTTTCTTCTGTTACCTCCACCAAGGGGTGCTCCCCAAATTTAACAGATAACGACAAACCTGTTAACTTTGTCATTGCTCTAAGAAACTGACAACACACTGCAAAGTTTTCAACATTACTTTGGGAGGACACATAAAATTATTATTACTCTCAATTCATAAATGTAAAAGAGCTCCATCTCTAAA